CCCTGATTTCCATTAGGAGAGTTTCAAGAAACAATTGATCATTTATAGTAAAACATATATCTTTGTCATGGAGAGAATCTATAAACTGGCACAGCATACTGCTTTTTAATATTATTAATAACCTCTTTAATGCTATTCAAGTACTCTTTGTCCCTTAAAAGAGAGTTATTAAATTTCCAAAAGCCTCGTCCTTTTTTAAAGTCATGAAATTTTAACACCAAAGAAATCATTGAATGTCTGATCTATAGCTAGTTTCAATGTTACATTTATCAAGGCAGGGCAAGAGTGTATCTGAGATGACAAAAAAATCAAGACGACTCTGTTTGAAAGGCTTTTTCTTGCGCCAAGAATACCTTCGGTCTTTTTCATGTAGTTGTCTAACCGTGTAACACTTAACAATTCAAATTTCTAAAATGAATTCGAGTTTTAGAGTGTTAATATATGAGTTCAAATTTCTAACTTTCCAAAACTCAAACTGATTTTGGATATTGAAATTTAATATTTTAGTTCAAAATCTAAATTTTCAAAGTTCCAAACAGGTTTTAGAATTTTAAGTTTTAAGATTTTGATCTTAAACATTCAAAATTCAAATTTCTAAAAACAAGTTTTGTATTTTAAACTTTTTGAGTTTTTAATCTACCGTTTGTTCAGAAAGTTTACGCCTAACAATCTAAAGTTCAGTACAGTTTTACTACTTTTGATATTTCAAAATTTACTTCAAACTTCTTAATTTCAACTTTCAAACGTTTTGATTTTTTTTTTTTTTTTTTTTTTTTTTTTTTTTTTTTTTTTTTTTTTTAAATTTAGAAGTTTGATTCAAATGTTCAAATTTCAAATATGCAAAACGCTTTGAGTTTTAAGAATTTTACTTTATATATATCCAAAATATCAATTTTCCAAACCCGATTTTAATTTTAAATATCAATTCAATATTCTAACTACTGAGTATCTGAAAGGTATTTTGATTAACCAAATGAGTTTTTGAAAAAGTTTCAAAATTTAAACTAGGTTTGGAATTGAATATTTTGGATATTTAAAGTAAAATCCTAAAATCTCGAAGTGTTTTGGTTATTTGAAATTAGAACATTTGAATACAATTTCCAAATTTTTAAAAATCTAAAAACGTTTCAAAGTTGAAATTTAGAAGTTCGAAGTTAATTTTAAATAATCAAAAGACGAAAAATGTCACTAAACTATAGATTGTTAAGTGTAAACTTTCTGAACAAAGGGCAGATAAAAACTCAAAAGTTTATAGTACAATTATCAGTTTGGGAAATTTGAATTTTGAACATTTTGGTAAAAATTTAAAATATCAAAATTTTAAAACCTGTTTGAAAATTTGAAAATTTAGAATTTTGAACTAAAATATTAAATTTCAATATACCAAATCAGTTTGAGTTTTTGAAATTTTGAAATTTGAACCAATATATTAACAATCCAACACTCTAAATCATTTTAGAAATTGGAATTGTTAAGTGTTACACGGACCGAAATTAAGTGTAGATTTACATTATATTTGCTATTTACGTTCAAATTAAAATTTTCGCCGATTTTGAACTTAAATGTCCACACGTTTCTATAATTAAATTGATTTTAAACTGTGTCTGATATTTAATTCCGAGTCGGAAATAAATCGGTTACTAGCATTGTTTAAAATTTCGGATATCTTTGATACACGATTGATATAAATTGTTTAATTAGAGGAAAGTCCTATCTTGGTATAAAGTAACAAAACAAATATCTCTCTAATTTTAGATAGTCTAAACTTATCAAAAATACGCCCTTTATGACTAAAATTTACGGCACTCCGATTGAGTCATACTTTTACCAAAAACACTTCGATCACGAATACATAATATTAAAAAAAACATAAGATAAACGAGTTATTTATATTTTATTTGGAGTTAAACCTCCATCGGATTGACAAGATGCCGAAAATACTCCTGAAACCGTGATACATTTTTTTTTTTCGTTAAAATGTTCGTTTGAAGAGGTTCGCTCCTAAGCTTTTGAGCAGATTTCTGTCTTTACCTCTATCAAAAAAAATCTGCATAATGCATTAGTTCTTACAATAATTTTGGATTCAATAATGCCAATTAAACTACATATATTCAATTAAAACCCCACGATTGAATTCAATACCGAAAACATATAGAGAGGAACTATATTTTGTTGCGGAAGGTTTTTTAAGAAGAAAAAGATCTTTTTCTAAGTATTATGTATTGTTAGGTTTGGATTCCTTTTTTCACAAACAGTTGCAAACTGAGTGACTTTGTGCAGTGAAATGTTTCATGCTGGTCTTAAATTAATATTATATTAATTGTCATGACTTCTATCATCATATTTGGCAATTATATTAAGGGAGTATGGGACTTTCGGGTCCTAATTTCAGAGTAATTAAAACTCTAAAACACATACACAGATTGAAAGAAGACCTTTATTATATTTTACTAAAATACATTAAAAAAGGTTCTAGTGCGTAAATCTAAAAATAGAACACGCCAAAATAAGGGGAGTAACTCTGTATGAAAAAATGATATTTTATAAGCAATTTTTAAAATTTCAGAATTCCCATAAAAACATCAGAAAATAAAAAAGTTTATGAAATATTGTCTTCAACAGGAATGGAATTAAATATCTAAAAGAAAAAAGTACAAGGAAAAAATCTAAAAAGACGAATTATTTTGACTTATTTATATAATATCAATTTATTTGGGAAATGGGTTAATATATATGTACAATGTAATTTTAAGCAATTAAGGAATAATTAAAAGTTTAATTTCTTATGAAAGATTCATAGCAATTTGCTTGTTTTAAAAATTGCTGAAAAAAAATTATAAAGTTAGTGTTCAATTTTAGAGTAATCTTCTTTCGAATTCCTCGACCCGAATTTCCTCTGCTCGCAGTTGTTATGAAATGTAACAATAATGAGCTTGCAATTTTAAAATACTTGTTTTTAGTTTTTTATTCACTCGGTTTTATCAATTAACACTAGAATATTTCCATCGTTGCTGTATTTCTTTCGTATTACGGTGAATAATGCTTTTCGCCAGAGTTTTCGCGAGCAATCCGGAAATCTTACGATTTCACGATAGAGTTTTATATATTACAGTGTACAACTTATTTCCAGTTTACAACTCAAACTACTCAATTTAGCTGATTAAACAAGGTATTTTCAATTGTCATTGAATAATTATTATTTAACCGTTCGATTGTTTCTAACGTTTCAGTAAAATAGATGAAATAAAGTGATTGGGTGAAGACAGGAATCATGGAATGCCTACGTGTATAGTGTAGATTGACACTGCCTCATGCTCTGAATACTCCTTAGTTATAATAAGATAATGAGATTAAAGATTGTATCTCCACGTACAACTATTATTAACAAAAAATCTGCGTCTTGTTTTGAATATTTTTATGTCCAGTAGCTTATAAAGATATGATATAAAAATTCAATAACCAATATGAAACCACTGCATATCATGGACACCCTGTTAAAGCTGGGGGGAAAAAGTTACACCACCACAATACACTATTTTGCTGCATGTGTATAATAGGGTGAAGAGTAAAAACAATACTTAAGAAAATTATAATATGTTGACGGTGCGACCGTAAGAGCGAGCGCAAACTCTTCTATTGTTTTAATTTAGATCGGGCTCGTCAAACCGCACGTGACATTTTGGTGCGTCTAGACTCTGACGTCACATGATGTCGTATGTGAGTTTCAATTCCAAGAAAAAGCCTGAACAGTGCTGAAAGTTAATGAAGAAAGTTTCGTTTTCTATTTCTTCAATATATATCCATTAAATCAAGGCGGGCAAACTTTTTGTTGAACATTTGTCGTTATTCTCGCGAGAACGTAGCTAAAACAAGTGATGCATTGTGGGTCGAAATTACGGCATCAAAAAATTCTATCAAATGAATGTGCAGTAGTCCGAATTTTCTCTTCGCACAGGCGTTGCTTTAAGAGCTCACAGTGACGAGCGTCGCTTCGCGACGCTCGCTGCGCTCGCTATTATTCAGCTGGAACAACAAATTACAAAAACAAGTTCTTTGATCAAGTGCCACTAAATTACATGAACCAAAACAAATATTGAATGATGTTGACTGTTGAGGGCAACTTTATTTTTATAATTAGTCTCCAAGGGTTGAAATATTGTCCAATGTGGAGTGAATGTTTTCATCCCAGGGAGGCTAAAATAATTTATGTCGCCTGAAAACGGTTGATACCTGGTAAATTGCTATGTAATATGCAAAACAAATCGATAGAATATAGTATTTTGTTTTAAATAAATATTTAGATCAACAAATATGACCTACATGTAGTGCTAGCAGATCTTGCCTTAATTGTTTTTTTTTTTATATTGTGACATGAAGGATATGGAGATAACGAACAGTATTCAGTCTCAAAGTCAATACAACAATACAAATAAGAGCAGAGACAACATGGACATGATGTTTTTTGCAAGTTGCGGCTGTTTCATTATACATGTATCACTATAAATGGATTCAAATCAATAAAATGTTGGGAAATGACCATCAATATGTTTTAAGGAGCTTAAATCTAAATGTATTTTGTTAACTGTTTTTCTAAATAGAGAATATAAGGACTATAATCCAATCCACACTTTGCAATAGTTATGTCCCTTTGATAGGTCAATCAAATAGGAAAGAAATGACATTTCTCCACTTCATGCTACAAAATATTTTTGGCATGCTCAGATAAATCAACTGTGTTTTTTCTTTTGATATATGAGTTGGCCCATCTTTGGGCAATCATTATAGAAGATGCACATAATTCTTCAATTCAGATGACAAATTTACAAACCAGAAAACTATAAAGGGTACTGTGAGGATTCTTTGGATTTTTCCTCAAATGGCGGCCAAGGGACATAACTTTTGAAAAGTGTGAATTCACCTATTCTTTCAATGCTGAAAAAGAAAAATATGATTTGACAAGTTTTTCAAACTATTTATTTCAAATATCTTTTCCTATTTTTTTTTAAATTGTAAATTGTATTTAGCACATAAAGTATGTGGAAAACTTCAACATTCAAAAGACATAATTTATGCCATTGACATTTCAAATAGACTGAGGATGAATGTCTTTTTTTGTATCAAACTTCAACTGAAAAAGTCTTAATTCTGAAATATAATCCATAATTCATTTAGAATAATGCACAAATAGTTTTTCATTCAAATCTTTTATCCATAATCCAACACGGAGTTTGTTGACAATGCCACAGTTTCAAAATACTGGGATAGGAAATTATATTGTGTCCAGTGATTTTCTTCCATTTATTTTCAAACCTGTAGTTTAGTCTGCCTTTTTAGTAATTGTTCTTTATGGAACAAAATACTGGTTCAAATGGTTTACCCACTCATTGCTGATATGATGTTCTGGCTCACTGTAAGAAATAAAAAACTGATGTCAAATTAGTGTTTTTTAATTTATATGGAAATTGCAATGCTTGGTAATATTGTGAAACAAGAGGCCCAAGGGCCACATCGCTCACCTGAGCACATCTACTAGGAAAAAGCACATATCAGATCAGTATTGAGAAGTTAAATACGGGGGGGGGGGGGGGGGGGGGGGAGTTGAATTTTAACCCTCCTGGGTGTCATGATTTGAACAATGTACAATCTACACTACCTGAGGATGATTCCATATAAATAGAAAAATATCACTAATCATGGCTTTGAAGTACTTGAAAAGGTTTCCCTATATATCCTAATGTACAAATTTGGTCAGCCATTTTGGGCCCAAAACTAGCCCCGGAGGTCATGATTTGAACAAACTTGAATCTACACTACCTGAGGATGATTCCACATGAGTTTCATCTTTCCTGGCCCAGTGGTTCTTCTGAAAAAGATTTTTAAAGATTTTTCCTATATATTCCTATGTAAAACTTTGGTCGGCCATTTTGGCCCCACCCTAGCCCCGGGGGTCATGATTTGAACAAACTTGAATCTACACTACCTGAGGATGATTCCACATGAGTTTCATCTTTCCTGGCCCAGTGGTTCTTGAGAAGAAGATTTTTTAAACATAGGTAATCAGAGATTACAGAGCTCACCTCAACGAATGTTGTCTTTAAGTAAGGCAAAGTCACACAATAAACCAACAAAAAGTGTACATTCCAAAATGAAAATATTTATGCAATTTTGATCTGATACTTTGGAATAGAGCTATATAAAAACTTCAAACTAGTTCTTTTTCATGAAAATGTAATTAAAATCCATCATCTGAAGCAAATTTGAGAGTTTTCATCCCTTGATGCATCATTTGTGCAAGTTTGGTTTATACAATGTTATATAAGCCTTATAGTTTTTTGGTAGTAGACCTTCACCCATAACTTTTACCTGGTCCATTATCTGAAAAATGTATGTCTAATTCAGCATCCAAAGCAAGTCCATTAGTGTGCATCCTAAGATGCATCATCCATGCAAGTTTGGTCATTATAGGGCTCATAGTTACTTGGAAATGAAACCTGCACCAAAAACTTTAACCTGTTCACTCAACCGGAAAATGTAGGTCAGATTCAGCATCCGAAGTAAGTCTGGTAGCATGCATCCTTCGATGTACCATCCATGCAAATTCGGTCAAAATAGGGCTCAAAGTATCTTGGAAATGAGACCTGCACCAAAAACTTTAACCTGTTCACTCAACTGGAAAATGTAGGTCAGATTCAGCATTTGAAGCAAGCCTGGTAGTATGCATCATATGTATGAAACCTGCAAGTTTGGTCATTATAGTGCTCATAGTATCTTGGAAATGAGACCTGCACCAAAAACTTTAACCTGTTCACTCAACTGGAAAATGTAGGTCAGATTCAGCATCCGAAGCAAGCCTGGTAGTATGCGTCCTTAGATGTATCATCCATGCAAGTTTGGTCATTATAGGGCTCATAGTTACTTGGAAATGAAACCTGCACCAAAACTTTAACCTGTTCACTCAACCGGAAAATGTAGGTCAGATTCAGCATCCAAAGCAAGCCTGGTAGTGTGCATCCTTAGATGTATCATCCATGCAAGTTTGGTCATTATAGTGCTCATAGTTACTTGGAAATGAGACCTGCACCAAAACTTTAACCTGTTCACTCAACTGGAAAATGTAGGTCAGATTCAGCATCCGAAGCAAGCCTGGTAGCGTGCATCCTTAGATGTATCATCCATGAAAGTTTGGTCAACATAGGGCTTATAGTTCCTTGGAAATGACACCAACACCAAAAACTGCACCAAAAATGTTAACCTGCTCCAAAAACCTTAACCTGGTCATTCCTTTGCTGAAATTGCAGCATCTGAAACTTTGACTGGTACAATGAAACACACTAGAAACATCTTCCATGCATGTCTAATCAATATAGGTCATAGAAGTACTTTAAAAGAAAACTGCTCCAAAAAACTTAACCTGGGACACCGACACCGACGCCGACGGGGACGCCGAGGGTATTACATAAGCTCCCCCAACTTCGTTGAGGTGAGCTAAAAATGCTAATAATTTTTCACTAATTCATAATTATCTCTCCTTGGAAGAGGGCGTGGCCCTTCATTTGAACAATATTGAATCCCCTTCACCCAGGGATACTTTGTGCCAAGTTTGGTTGAAATTGGCCCAGTGGTTCTTGAGAAGAAGATGAAAATGTGAAAAGTTTACGACAACGACAACGCCAACAACGACAACGACAGACGATGGACAAATTTTGATCAGAAAAGCTCACTTGAGCCTTCGGCTCAGGTGAGCTAAAAATGAATATTCATATTTTTATTGAAAAGGGATTTTAAAAAAAAAGGAATTGGCTATAAACATTGGGCAAACGGAAACATTTTTTTTTTCACTTAATTAATAACACCATGTACAGACTAAGATATTGACAAGTATAAAATATACATTTTTAAAAACATAACATTGTACCTTAATGTAAGTGGATTTAGCCGGATTATCCATAAGCAAGGACCATGTGAGAGGACTGTAGTGGTGCACCATATTATAAACTGGCCTTAAGAGCATCTGTCAGCTCAATCCCTATACATGTACCTCTTTTCAAGTCTCCATTTAGCAGATATAAAATGTTCTATATTCTCTTTTATCTCGACTTCATGCTTCCACAAAAACAGGAATACCTATTCAAAAAATATATATGTTTGTACATCTGAGGAGCATTTACTGATTTGTCATGTTTATTCTTACATGTATGTATGAAATTTTTTTTAATGGAATATTCTTTAATCTGCATTAATATTCTTTTATAGTCGATGACTTCTAATGCTTCAAACCTTTGATTATTCCTACCGATTCAACACAAATTATTTGCATCTAACAGGGGGGTCTAAATTTCTCTGAGGGGGGTCCAAGGTAACTTTTATCTTGCTATAGTATATGAATTTAATAACCTTTGCAAATTACAGGGGGGGGGAGGGTTCCTGACCTGAGCTTCATATTTTAGCGGCTTAGGCACAAACATTTACACAATAATTAAAGAATACCACTGTTTTATGCAGAAGAATTTTATGAGTGAGGTATATGTGCATTACTTTTGTTGTAGTGCAGACTAGTCAGTGAAATATTGAATTGTATGTAGATTGGAAAAATTCTATAGAGTGCTCAACACCTTGCATGATGTTGCATCTCAGGTTAATTGTTTGGGTTCGGTTACATGTATAACAGTTGTTTCAAATGATATACATATATCTATACACATGACAGAGTACAACTGGATTATGTCATGTGAAGATCAAGTGACAGTGATACACATATACACCACTGTGGAATAGTATTTAGCGTGTGATTATAGTTATATAATCCAAGATTCCTCTGACTCTAAACCCTGCTTTTACTTTGTGACTTCATAGGCACTCCCCATCTTAATTGTTAAAAAAAAAAATCTCTACTAAACTACGTTTTGTTTATAGTATAGTAGAGATTTTTTTTTTAACAATTAAGATGGGGAGTGCCTATGTGTGACTTGTGCAGGTAACAATGCAAAAGCAGGAGTTCGAGTCAGAGGAATCTCGGATAAAATAGTTATAGTGCCCTTGCCCCTTTACCCTGTTTGAATATTTATATTGCAAAGAATTGCCATGATTACGGAAGAAAAATAATAGGTTGAATTTAGAGACAAACCTGGGCAGATCAGACGAGAGTTGTCGTGGGCATGGTGGGGTGATCATGGTGATGCGATTGTGATTCCTTCATTCGAGTGATTGTTGGCAGAGTAAATTCAGTATGACACAGCTCAATATCGCCTTCTTTCAGTCAAGGAAGCCGCTAAATTGATTAGGTAGACGAAAACCCTAGGTTTCTCCGCATTTCATGCTTTCCGAAACATCCGCTTTGTTTACAATGCCGAAAATGGCGATAAGCGAGATAAGTCGTAAAATTTCACTGAGTTGTTTTTTGGTTCGATTCTAATGATATTTTTATCACAATTTATATTATTTTATATCAAGTATATCTATAAAATAAGTTGTTCGGTAAAATTTAATAAAAAATCATAGAAAGATTTGAACGACATAACAAAAACGTAAAATTCATTTACGTCACTTCGAGTTGCGCGGTGGATTCAAAATCGTCAGTTCCATACTCCCTTAAATATATATCGTGAAAGTCGTTGGGAAAAATAGCCCAATTTAAGCTGAAAATTAGTACAATTTTATCAGTGCCTGTGTCTTTTAGTAATATTTAAAAATTAATATCACAGAGCCCCCTTTTATATCATTTTCCAAATATACATGTATAAGATTATTTTAACCATTCTACTAATTCAGAAAAATGATATTACTTTCAAATGATTTTATTGCTTTTTAAATTTTGAACGCCAGAAAAATAACATTTTTTTTAGTGCAGAAAGGTCAAATAATTGACTATGTGCAGTAATTTGAAACTATTTTTGTTGGCACAGATTTTAATGTGACTATTCAAGATGAAAAAAGACTGTTTGTTCCAATAATTCACTTGGATAAAAAATTTTAAAGGAAAAACATTGAAGAATTGAATTATGTGATAGAAGTAATTGCAGTGCGAAAAAGTCATACATGTATTAATTGATCCGTAGTGCTAAAAGAAGCGCACTGACCCTCATTTTTTGTTTTTGATTTTTTATTAAGCTATGTGTATACTAGTATTCTAAAAATATACTTGATGAAAAATTCTGAATACTTTTGATAACAGGATCCAACCTCCTTCAGTGAAATTCCGTTAACATGCCTCGTGTTTAATGAAAAGAATTATTACTTTCACTTTATAAGAAGACGTTCTTTTAAAGGAAATTCAGGGGTTTTTATTAATCAACGTCATCTAAAACTTTTGAAATAAAAAAATATAACGGACTGATGAATACAGTTTTAAAAAAAAACATCGTTTTTTGAAAATCAAACAAGGACACTTTTTATTTCTCATTTCATGAGAGATATATACAGTTTGGAATTTTTAAAATTCATATTTATGTTGAACGTGACGACAGTTCTAAGCTCTTCAGAACGTATTAGATACGCGCAAAAGATGCTAAAAATAAAGTTATATTCACACGAGCATTTCTTTTCAACGTTTGTTTGTTTGAATACACTACAGTTTCGCATAAATACTCAATCTACAGTTACCGCAATTATTATGCTTTAGACATAAACGGCACGCCTTATCAGCACACGTTATCAAAAATGGCGACAGCTTCACCAAAATTTTTACCGTTTGGAAAACAATATCATATATTTTTCTTTCATGGCCCATCTGAGAGGGATAGCGATTGGACTAGGGATGTTATAGAACAACTTGAAGCTCAGAGATATATTGGTGGGTGCAACTGTTTTGATTTTAGTCCACATTTTTCTATATTCTCTAACATCAAAAGAGTATTACATGAGTCGGTAGTCTTAGCTTTTGTCTTCTCGCATGACTCGACAAAATTGGAAGACTTCCTAATGTCAGTGGATAATGCTGTGACTTCCATCTTACGTCGAAAACGACGAGAGAAACAAGTACATGTAGCAATGATTCCAGTTTTACTTGATGACTGCGAAGTCTCGCAGTGTTTGATCAATTATGAACCTCTAATCGTCTCTAATGAGAGATACCGATGGTGGCCAAAATTAATGAACGTTCTGGATATTGAAAATCCGTCATCGAGCAGTGGTGAGTCTGATGAGGATCTCAAATATCATTTTGAATGTATGGTCAGAATTGCAGAAAATGATATCAAAAAACAAAGAAAATTGGATAACATGATGAAAGAATATAAGATAGGATATTACACTAGTCAAATTGGAAGGAGAACAACAGCTAAAAATTTGAGTGAAGGCTGTGGGATACAGATAGCTTCACAAAGTCTAGTAATAGAATGGGATACGTTTGTGAATATCATGTCGAATAGTGAAAAGGCTCTGATTGAAATCAGAAATCTAAGTAAACACGAGAAAATTGAAAACATTGTTATTAATCTAACAAAAGAAGGAGAAAATAAGCTTTTTAAATATTGTGCCGAAAATCGCAATAAGCTTGTGAAATTTTTGGAACACTCTTTGAATTACGATTTTCATAAATCAGAATATGACAGAATGACATATAATGTTAAATTTCAGGGGCACACAGGATATAATTTACTGCATTTGGCTAATAACATTGTCCGAAATTTGTACCTGAGTAATTATCAGAGACGCACTATAGAATTCAATTCTTTGAAAAAAAGAATTAGAACATTTGAAAACTCACCTTATCATGAAAGTGAAAAGAATATGCTTGCCGAAGCAGGATTTATCTACTCTGGCGTCTCGGATACGATCACTTGCCACTGTTGTAATCAAAGTTTAATAGGAAGGTTTGAAACAGATTCCGAGTCTGAATTGTATTTTCAACACAGCAAATGGAATACTGACTGTCAATACCTTTCCAAAAAATATTCATTTCCCGAATATGATGATTCATCAAACAATCCATACCTGCCACCGACTCTTTCGTCAATTCAAGAAAGAGAAGAGTATAGTCTTACCAAACTTCAGAATAAAGAGTTTGCAGCCGAATTGGCTAAACTGGGTTTTGTTGCAAGAACAGCAACACTGAAAGTAGTGCTTGTAATATGCACGAGTTGCCACTATGAACATTGTGTGCTTGAGGACGTAAATGTAATGAAAGATCTACAAATTAATCATATGATATGGTCTGGAAAAGACTGCCCATTCCTTGTTCAAGAAAAAGGTGTTAGTGCTATAAGTAACTTTATGAGGGAACGTGAACTTAAAGTCCATCACAGATCATCTATTGTATTTGATCCAATTTTGATGAAAAGAAATCCATAATATTATTCTACGTAGTAGACTGCGGGACCTGTAAACAAAGTTGCGTATGCACTCAAAACTTGTGAATAACAATATTTTATAATGAGTATTTACTGTTCTGTATTGGTTTATAACATTTAAGGCGCAAACATTAGACCTAGTATTAATTTCAATGCACATGAATATACAGTGCAGTGAAGAGAGATGTAGATATAACCCCGCTTGAAAAGTAGGAGAGCATATTGTGATCGGGATGTCCGTCCGTCTGCACGTCCACCCGTCTGTTACGCTTTGTGGAACCCATCTTTTTTCCGCAACTCCTCTTATACCACTGAATGAAATTTAATGAGACTTACACAGAATATTTGTTACATAGTGCCATCGTGTACATCCTATTTACTTTTTGATCGGAAACATATTTCGGGTTTTCCATAGCAAAACAATGACTCTGCCATTTTTCCTGTAATGTTGATAGGTACCCATCTCTTATTCAGAACTCATCCTATACCTATACCACTGTTAACAATTTAATGATACTTTCATAAGATTCTTTATCATTTGATGCCATTGTGCACCTCCTATTTTACTTTTTGAAAAAAATCCATTTTATTTTATTTATATTCTGGTAGATTATCCATACAGGCATCCCTTAGAGGGCCCCTTAATTGAGTGTGATAATTATTTGTTGGGTTTGGGGAGTAGCCGTTCAGGGAACAAATGCAATAGAAAGATTATTCAATAAAAGACTGGACATCTGCTTTGATAAATTTCTGTAAATATACTACGATATCAGTTGGTGACCTTGCTTATATAAATTCAAATTCTTATGTATGCTGATGACATAATTTTATTCTCTTCAATGAGAGAGGGATTACAGCAAAAACATAATATTTTACATCAAAACTCCAATTGATGGGTGTCTCAATATCGATATATTTAAACTAAAATAATAGCTTTCGACAAAACAGGTAGCCACACACAAAATTTGACTTTGCTGTAAATGTGGATGTTGGAGTGAAATGTTTTTCATACTAATTATTAGTCCATTATTTATACACTGAATCGACAACGGATTTTTCCGTTATTTCCAGATCATGACAAGAAGCACACGGCGGGTGTGACCGGTCGGCAGGGGATGTTCACTCCTCCATGGCACCTAATCCCACTTCTGATGTTTTGGAGGTCCGTGTTTTCTCTGCTCCTATTTTGTATTGTTTTATGGACTGTGATATTGAATACTGTTCGTCACCTCCATATCCTTCATGTGTCTGAATACATAAGTTATTATTATTACAATAATAATATCCTTTATGTGACAGAGTTATATTAACTATAATTGTTTTATTTGTTATAATTTATTTCTGAGGTAACATGTTTTATTTGGTAATTGTTGTAAAGTTGTTTCATGTTTAAAACTATTTAGATCGGGATCAATTACCTAATTTTAATCTATGACACCATTGTCTTAATTTACAGCCAATCAGCGTGGCTTCTCCTAATCACGTGACCATTGTTTTATTTTTTACCAAAGGAGAAAGCCACACAAATTTACAAGGAAATTTTTTTTTACCGAAAAACCCTCCATCCATCCCCATTTCTTCCACCGTCTTATATTATATTTGTTATATATGTACTTGTATTAGTTGTTCATATTTATTTGTTTGGCGTTTATTTTCTTTTAACCCACCCTTTTTTGATGACAGGCATATCAGTGCCTGCTTTATGATATATGTAATTTTAGGGGGTCAGATTGCATAATATGTTACCAAAGATTTTTGTATTCTTTCAAAGTTTTTACTAGTCTTGTCTGACCCCCTTATAATATGTTTATATTTTGTTTTGCGTCATTTACTTCAATAAATGACATTTTTTCACTTTCACTACTGTTGTTATTTTAATTTTAATCCATCAAAAAACTAGTTCAGTTGACTTGGCTTCGGTCTTGCATAATAACAGAGGAACATAAAGATATTTAGCTGTAACATGTTGATTCTTAATCTTTCTCCTTTCCTCAAAAGAAAGTTTATCAAAAAGTATTACATTGATTCTTTATACTTTGGAAACTTCTCATTTGACTGAATCCAGAAATGAAAACTAGAATTCAAATGTTGTTTTAAATGCTTTTACCAATTGAATAGCATCCCAGTCTTTAATACTATTAA